GCGGGCCAGTCGGTCAGGGTTTCCGTGCTGAGTCACTTGATACATGTACAAAGCGCTTGAGGGCGCATCATTCGTGCCTGATTTATTTTATAGTTGCGGTTGATGCCCACCCAGTGCTTGTCGACGTGACAAAGGCAGCCCTTGTGAACATGCTCGGTTCATCAAAGAAAAGTCTTGCGTGTGACAGCAATGACTCATAATGAAGGCAAGCGTTCTTTCATCACTTTTTATTCATCATTCTTCAATTTTTTTTTAAATTGGCCTGCCAAAACTTCGAGATAAGCGGCTTTGGTAGTATTGACGTTTCGAGTTACAGATAGTTTATTGTACATAAAGGCCTATTCTTTTGTTGGGAATACAGAAAGACGTCGAGGTAAACGGAGTTTCGACTTAACCGGCTTTGACTTATTGAGATTTTACTGTATTTCATTGATTAGAAGATTAATTTTTGTATTCTAACCGAAACTTGGCTTTAAGAAAATGATTTTGCAGTTCGATCATTATGTCTTTTGCCTGGCTATTCCATTAACGATCAGCCCAGAAAAAATAGATCAGATGGGGGCATTGGTGTTGTTTTTCACAGTGACTTGTTTAAGGTCAATAAAATCAACTTTGGGGAGAAGGCATCTTTTGAATGGACAGTTGGTTTTGGAGGCAATCAAGTAAAGTTGATAACTGTGTACAGATGTCCTTATTTAACCATATATCCCATTCCTATTAATGCATTTTTTGAGGAATTTTAAAATTACTTGGATGTTGTTTTAGACTGTAATTTGTCAGTACTCATTTGTCGTGACTTTAATATCCATGTCAGTGATGTAGAAAGTGCAATGGTGATGAAGTTTAATGATATTTGTTTTTCAAGAAACCTGATCCAACTCGTGCATGTTCCAACTCATGAATCTGTTCACACTCTTGATCTGTTTATTACACGTGACGACGATAAACCCCACCTCTCTCCACCTGTAGAGGGTCATTTTATATAAGATCATTGTTTTGTTACTACGTTGTTACGTAACAGTGTCAGGCATATCAAAGTGAAAACACAATCATTTATGTCTTACTGGAAATTTGATAAGGCTGCATTTGTAAATGACGTACGTTTTTCTCAGCTATGTGATGATGATCTGTTGGTGAGGGAAGATGTTGACGAGATGGTGAGCGTATATAATACTGTTTTGAGGGATTTATTGGATAGGCATGCTCCTTCAAAAATTAAGAAAATTACAATTAGGCCAAAGCTTCCATGGGTAACAGACGAAATTACAAGACTCGGGCAATTAAGGAGGCGTGCTGAAAGGCTCTGGCGAAGACACTGTACAATGTCTAGCAGAGATGTGTTCCAGTATTTCAGAAATAAGACAACCAATATGGTCTTTCAAGCCTGTAAGGATTATTACTCTAGTAAGATTAATGATTGCCATGGTGATCAAAAGAAACAATATGGCATTATTAATTCTCTGCTGAAGCCAAGTAGAAGTGATGAATTTCCTATTTGTTGTTCGGAAAGTAACCTGGCTAATGACTCTAATCGCCATTTCACTAATAAAACCATTAAAATCAGTGATGATTTGGAGAGTCAGGCTCCTGTTGATGTTTTATGTAAAATGAATGGGCCTGAAAAAAAAGACTGTTCAGCACCTGCTTATGTGAATCTGGTCAAGCGTTTCTAAAAGCCTTCTAAACATTGTGTAAATGATCCCATTCCAACATGGTTGTTTGAGGAATGTATAGATGTTTTACTTCTATTATATCTATGGTTAATTGTTCCTTCAGAAATGGTGTATTTGCTACTTAATGGAAAAATGCAGTGGGTGTTCCTTTGATTAAGAAACGTGGGGCTGGTGCCGACTTGTCAAATTTCAGACCAATAAGTAATTTGTGCTTCATTTCAAAATTAGTGGAACGAATAGCTGCAGATCAAATCACTGCTTACACAAGAATAATCTCTTCCTGACAAACCAATCAGTTTATAGGCAGTTTCCCAGCACAGAAATCATGCTTTGTAGAATTACTTTGGATATGTTTCAAAATATGGTTAACAAACAGGTAGGCACGATGGTTTTACTTGACCTTAGTGCCGCATTTGATACGGTTGACCACAAGTTGTTGCTCCAAATTATGGAGAATGATTTTTGTTTTTGTAACACTGTACTCACTTGGCTGTCATCATATCTCGGTAATCGTTACCAAAGGTTTTCAATTTCAGGTGCTCTGTCGGAACATATTAGTGTTGAATTTGGGGTTCCTCAAGGTTCATGTTTGGACCCTATGCTTTTCATGGCCTATTCAAGTTCTCTATTATAAGTGATTATGTGATGTGGATGATACCCAGTTGTTGCAATTTTTTTCTCCCAAATTGTGTCATCAGACTCATTGCAAAATATTGAAACTGTGTTGTTTCGGTTCAAGCATGGATGTTGAAACACAAGTTGAAACTAAATGCTGGAAAAACAGATCATTTTGTTTGGTTCTCAGCAACAACTGCATAAAATCCACATTGACCATGTTAAAATTGTTGACAACCATATAAAAATTGTTGACTGTGTCTGTAGTCTGGGAGTCTGGCTGGATTCAAGATTGTGTTTGGACTCTCACATCAATCATATTTGTAAGAAGGTGAATTATAGCTTACAAAATTTATGTCGTATTAGAAAATATCTGAATCAAGGAGCCAGCGAGTGTTTGGTTCATTTATTAATTACATCTCACCTTGATTATGTCAACTTTGTAATATATGGTATGTCTCAATCTTCATTCCACAAGTTACAGCATTTGCAGAATAATGCAGCTCTGTTCGTGCAAATGTGGAATTTAAGATCTTGCTTTTGGTTTTCAAGGTGTTGCAGAACAAAGCACCAAGCTACCTGACTGACTTGATTGTCAGATCCTGTTGTGCTTATGACTAGCGTTAGGATAGTCAGGATACCTTGAGTCTTCAAGTTCCTTGATCGTGTAATAAGCTTAATGATAGGGCATTTGCTATTGCTAGACTGAGGTTGTGGAATTCTTTGCCAACCTAGTTGAAAGATATTAGGAATGAAAACGAGTTCCAGCATGCCATCAAGGCATACCTTTTTAATAAATGTTATAATTAATAAGGTCTTATGCATGTAATTTTATGGTTTATTAATCATGTGGTTCAACCCATAACTTACATGTATTTTTTGTAACTTTTCATTATAATTTTAATTGTAGTTTTTATAAAACTGTTGTGAATATGTAATTATTATTTTTGCTATTTTGATATGTACAGTCCTATTGAATATTAAAAGAAATGGTGCTTAAGAAATGAAATAAATGTTAAATGTTATCTGAAGTTTTTATCATTTATGATACAATGTTTAGATTGCCTGAGGGGGGTTGGCTTACATCTTGTAGGGTAATTGTGGTCCTTTTTTCCTTTGGTGAGATATTGGTGCATTTTTTTCTCACACTGGTTGGTGACTGCAAAGTTGTTACGCCTCTGCTGTGTTTTTCTTTGTGTTTTGGAGATTCTTCAAGTTGAGAGCGAAGATGATTGATTAGAAATGTGCTTGCAGCTGTTCTCTTATTTTTAAAAGGGTATTACATGTATATATGTATGATATCGCACATTTGAGTTCTCCAGGATGTTTTTTTGCTGCAAAAACACTGATGCTTTGGTTCCATTTGTGTGGTTGTCATTTGTTCAGTTTGGGCAGTGGCATCGTTTCCTCGTATTGCTGGCATTGTGATTTTGGATTCATTAGGCTTACTGTCCTTTGTCTTGGTTCTGATGGTAGGGGTGCATGCATTTACAGGTATGTTTTGAACGGGGCAGTCTAGGCTTCCTTTCTATTTCGATACAGGTACCTGGATACCCTTCAAATATAAAGAACACTTAACAAATGGCATTGCGTGCATTTCCGTCTTACCGTGTGCCCAAAACAGGGCTCTTTTTTGTACATAGTAAGCAGCATACTGTTCTTAATGTTACAGAGGAATTTCGTCCACTGTTTTTTGAAACAAAATTGTCACCGTTTCTCTAAACTGAACAGTTTGATCATTATGTTTGTGATAACTCTGGGTAAAGCTACTTCAGACGCATGGGAAAAAGTGATTTAGAATCAGTTTGTGCAATTCTGGCTTGTATATTTACAATTCCAGATTATGTACACTATTTACAATGATGTTGAAATTGGACGAATAATCTGTGTAATGGGCCCTTAAATTTGAAATAATTGTCCCATGACTTTCTACATGTACTTTACTCGTCTACTAGATTTCCAAGAGGGCTATGTACTTAATTATTGAAAATTGGTAAATTCATTATGTTGATCAAATGCAAATCCCTGATAGGTGATTACTCCCTCAACAAGTAATGTGAATTTCCACTCCGTAACGGTGTGCTCGGCCGGTTCCCAGGCGTTCCAGCCAGGTTACAGGGTCCGGCCAAGTCTCCTCTCAAGGACAGCTTGACTTCAGGGGTTAGGCTACCCAGACTATCGTACGTACACGTAGAGTTGGTGTAAAGGGAATTCTCAAATCCCAAAGGTTACGACCATTCAGTATTGTCATGTGCAAGTTTCATGTCAACTAATTAATGCCAGAAATTACTCAAAAGTTTCCATTTCACAACTGCGAAAATCACAATGTTTCTCATTTAGATAACCCCTTGACGATGGGAATTTCTTTCCGAAAGCCGACTCCAAGAGTTCCGGGCTCACTTGGCCACGAAAGCCACCTGCCAAACTCTCGTTTGTGGCCCTGCGTGCTCTGCAGGCTTTGAATTACACGGTGAAAAGGCTGATTGTTCATTAGCTGTTTTTTTCTGCGCATTAAGCATTTAACCTCCAGAACTCCATTTTTCTTGCAGGCCCTCGAAGAGCTCTGTATCAATGTCAGTTAGGATTCCAGTAACAACTCCCTTGCTTTGGGTTTTCGATTTGGAAAATTCAGAATCATTACCCAGTGATCTTGTTGGCGTACAATTCCTCATGCTGTACTTTGTGTATGTGTTCATGTTTCTCTGTTCATAGGTCTCTGTAACAAAACATCATGCCTAGACAAGTATGCAGTAAGACCAGTGTGACACCCAGGCGTCCCTTTGAGAAGGAACGCTTGGACCAAGAGTTGAAGCTCATTGGTGAGTATGGCCTTCGGAACAAGCGGGAAGTGTGGCGTGTCAAGTACACCTTGGCGAAGATCAGAAAGGCTGCCCGTGACCTGCTAACCCGTGAGGACAAGGACCCCAAGAGACTCTTTGAAGGTAGTCATTTGTTAGTTGCTGCTGATCTTAATGGATGTAGAACAGGTTTTGTTTGTGTTGTGATCTTTATGCCCTGCTAGCTAAGCTGAAGGGCATACTGTTTCAGCCTTATATTTATCTGTGTGGACGGTTTCTATGCGCAGGTGTGTTGAAATTTGTAGCGAATTTCAATTTTTTTGTTGAGTATGCCAAGTTTCATTTTCTGTTTTTTTGCAAACTAATGGACCAGATTTTCCTAATTTTTCTTCCTTGTGCAAGTGCCCATTTTTTCTGTTTTATCTTTTTCTACTGACAGGCACTGCGGCACTGTAATTCACGCGTGTACGAAGACTTTGACATCTTTTTTGAGTGTTTTTAACTGAATGGTGCACTTTTTCAAACATTAAAAATTGATCAAGTATTTCTGGACAATTGAGGGTCCTTTTGCTTTGACATAAGGGGCTTACCAGTAAGGCCTGACTGTTCTTCCCAGGGGAAGTCCGCTGGAGTCCATGAACTTTTTTTAACAAAAGATCACTGGATGACGACGACCTGCGCAGCAAGAACGGTGTATGTTAATCAGCAAGTATGAATATTCAGTTCACTCTGCATTCAGAATGCCCTACCCAAATTTAGGTCAGGTCATTTAATATCAATGTCAAATTGAAAGTCCGCGATTGGAACGGCTGATTCCATGACTTGTGTGTACCGGAGAGTCCGGCCAATCTGCGATTGGAACAGCATGTTCATTATAATCGTCAACTATTACACTGATCTGAACTTGGAACTCCCAATATAAATTATTGGTACAGGTTCAGTAATGATAGTAGGCCCGTGCAAGAAGTCGAATATACCCACAACTAGCCCCAAGCCCCGCAGAGCATGCAGCGCCGGGCCACATGTGCACAACATACACTTGCGATTGCCTGTTCTGAGCAGCCACACGCTGGCAATGCACCATGCCCACTGAAGGAAGACATGGTTCAGGTTGCATGTTTCCTTGTTCAAATTGAGAACCCCAAATTTGCTATCCTTTCCTTTCCTTTGTGAACTTTCCTGTGAAAATGATTTTTACTGGATTATTGCCATATACAGTAAAATCTTGATAACTCAAAGTCGGTTAACTCGAAACTCAGCTCAACTCAAAGAATAATTAATTCCCGCCGAAAGAATAAGCTTTTATGTACAAAACATATCCGTAACTCAAACTGCTCACGTTGCTAGATTCGTTTGCCTGGAAGATTTTGTGAAGCAGATCCAAAAGAAACCGTCGCCAAAATACTTCCAGAAAGTGTAAACAGAATGCGGGTCTGGTTATGAATCATTTCTGGCACGCACACTTCGTCTTTTCACACAGGAACACTTGCAAGCGCGCTACAATGATGATCGATTGAGACACATAAATGACATTGTTACCGCAAAATCCTACTTGCAGGAATTGACCCAATTGTTACCGTGGGCCCATTGTGGACAATGTGTCAGCAGGCCAACTGATGGCTCTTTGCGGTCGGCGATGCAGAGGGGCTGGTGGCACGTGTCGCACTCGAAGTGTGTTTTCTTTCGCCGACCACAGGAGGGGCAGAGGACACACCGCCAGTAGCGGAAGTCGCCATAGCTGGTCCTCTCAAAGGCCACGGGGGTGTGTCGGCCGACATAGCGGGAGTTGGTGACTGGTGGAGTATTGTGCTGAGGGCAGTACTCAGGCAAGGGCTCGTCGAACAGCAGCTCATGGACAAGACTCAAGCGGTAGTCGAGGAAGGAGAGGCGGTGACCAACGGCCAGGTACACGACGTAGCTGTTCACCAGCGTCAAGTCAAGCAGGTAGAAGAAGAGCTACTTGTACCACTCGAGGGACTTATGAGTAGCTCGATGATTTGCCGCTAGTTGGTCGCTCTTGTCAATGCCCCACATCAGAATGTTGTATTCGATGATGCAGGTAGGTTTCTGCTTTTCCTCCCCCGTCCTGTCTTGCTTGCTGGAGCCATGGATGTCTGCCGTATGCATGGTGGAGAGGTTGTAGGTAGCGAAGCAGAGACGCCCGTAAAACTTCAACAGGGAGTCGTCAACGGAAATGTCCCGTCGAGGAACGTAGACAGTGGCAAACTTCTGAGCAAGATGGTCGACGACTGTGCGCACTTTGAAGAGGCGGTCGGTGCAGTCCTCCGGCATGGTGGTGTTATCGTTAAAGTGCAGGGACTGCAGGATGGCAAGGAAGTGATCTCGGGCCATGACGGACGGGAATAGGCTCATCTTCAGTAGTGGGTCGGTGGACCAGAAGCTATGAAGGGTGGGGTGCTTCACAATGCCCGTCATTATGCAAAGGCCCAGAAAGGCCTTAAGTTTTCCAGTGTTCAGCCCATGATCGCATGTGCGCCAAAGTCGTAGCGGGCCTCTGCATAGCATATTGATTGGTCTCTTGCACTATCTTGTTCTAGAGAACGTCGTCAAAAAACAGTTCAAAGGCTTCACTGCAGGTCGAGCTGCAATGCAGGCAGGGGTTAACGGCACCACCATTACCGGTGAAGCCGTACTTCAGCGGTGTACTGTCTTCATCTGTCCACCGGAACAGTGCAGCACTGCTGCTGGTTGACGCGGCGTCAGTGTACTGGACTGTCTCTTGCGCTTGACATATACCACCAAGGGTACATCACTGTCAATTTCTGTACTTGACTGTACTTGAGCAGGTGACGGCGATGATGAAGAAGACGAAGAACCTTCGTCTGAACTCAGATAAAACTCGCTTTCACTGGAAGAACTGGACTCTTCAGATATAACTTCAGCCATGTTGTCTTTGCTCTGATAACACGATACCCAATATGAAAACATGTAGCCACTGCACGGCAATTTTATTCTCAAGCAGGGAGGGCCGTGCCCTGTCAGTCAACGTGGCAAGGGCCAGCAGCGCCCAGGCCAGGTCATTCATGGGGCACAGGTGCATAATGAGCCAGCACAGCCTGCGCTTTTTTTCAGTGCAATCCGCTACGAGCGCCTGGCAGCGTGAACAAATGTGCTCTGCACAAACAATACCCGGATTACCTCTGCTAATGTCAGCGCTCTGCGCTAAAAGAATACAGGGATTGATTGGCAGTGCCCGGCAGCTCTCAGCAGCTCGTAATTTTACTACAGGCTTTTATAAGTTCGGTCATCCCGGCTATAAAATAAAGTCCCAATTCTCCGGCCCCAGCAACCCATTATTGCCTCAGACCAATTTATTTAACTCCAATGATGGCCTAAACTTTTAAACTGGCAGTGCCAAACTTTTTAAGAAACGGCCAGCAACTTTTTTTTTTTCAGTAAAGTTCCGATTTCGGAGACCCCGGCCACGAATATAAGGCCTATGCCTCCAGTACCAGAGCCCCTGGCTGGAAGTGGTTAAAAACCACAAGTTTGTTGTTTTTTTTGTCTGAAGTCGGCCGGCCGCCCTGGTGGGAATTCTGAAATGGATGCATATGTTTAGGTACTGTGCAGGATTTGCATGTACTGCAGTTTGCCAAATTGACTGGTTTAGGGGTTTGTGACTTAATGTATCATTCAAGGGACTGTTTCAGCTTTTGAGTACACAGCTCTGTGAAAAATTGAAAAAACACTATTCATTTTTAACACTCTGAGCGCAGCATGATTTGTCTTGCAAAACACTGTGGACCTCACAACGTTCCTGCCTGCTAGGATAGTTCGATCTGACCCTTAAGAAAGACATTCTCTTCCTTTGCTTTTCATGATAATTGTGGTTGGTGAATTTACCTTCAACTTTGTGTTTCATCTTAAAAAAATGTAACGCTGAGAATTTTCAAACAACGATTCATCCCGCAGCGAGTTGACTGCTGCAGTACCACACTGACTTGGCGACCATACGTGCCGTAGGCCCTACATATAATGTACACATGCACAAATGACCACGTTCATGTACATGTACAGTTCGCTTTCACACGTAGGCCTGCGGAGTACATTGGTCAAAAACCGTTAACATGCACATCAACAGCGCCCATCATTAACACTTCATAAATTCAACAAAACACTTCAACAAAATTGTAGTTACCACATGCATCCTTGCGTTTTGGTCATGTGAGTTACTGTGATTTGAAAATTAAAAAGCTCAATGTCTCGATATTGGAGTGGAAATTCTGTTTGAGAAAAACGGTCTCGGAGCTCCTCCAGAGAGGTCATATGTAATTGTTTTGGACCATACCATTATCTTGAGGGGGTAAAACTGAGATGATATAAATTTATGTGAGGTTTCATGAATAAAGTTTTTTCAGATCAGCCCAAATTCTCTTTCAGGTCATTAGTTATGGTTCTTTATCTATTTTATTACCTAATAATGACTTTAGGTGAACTGATGGTGCGTTGGCATTTAGCACACAATCCATTCATTAGAACTCTTGCAACAGCTCCCATTAACGGTTTCCATAGTTGAAATTTTCCCGAGAAAAAAATCTCGATAATGACAGAATTTCTGGTGGTAAGATTTCACAGATTGTCTGACACTATACTTTACAGTAAGATATATCAAGATAATTCAACGGTCCCATTTCTTAGATCTTACACATCCCATAGGCTTACGCACTCCAGCACAGGGCAGAAAGCCGGCTGTCTGACAATCATTAAATACATGTAAGTTACAGCATAAAAACGTTCTCCCATCAGAACAATTACCAGTTTAAAGTTTTCCAAGTTCAAAGTTTTAGGAAAATGAAATATACCTACAAACACTCAGTCACATGGAGGAACAAAGAAAAAAATTAATATTCTGCATCCTTGCTCGGCAGATGTACGTGTGGTGGGTAGAGCGGGTATGTACATTGTACAGTAAATTTTCGATGGCCCCGGATTACATGATGATGGTGTAAAACGCACGTTGTGAGAATTCGCTAATAACCAACCAAGAACACGAAAGGTACGGCATTTCAGCTGCAGAACATTGCTAAATTCTCACTACATCCAATTGTTCCATGCATATTCAGACCGATCTTATGTATGCCATTCTCCAATATTCACGCCCTAACATTCCATATTAGGCCAACGATGTCATAAATAAACATGCAAAACAAATTTTGATTGGATGCTAATCACAGTTGGATTCGTGTTCGATCAAAGGCAACTTCAAAGGGAAAAAAAGATTATGCCAGGCGAAGCATAGCAGCTGCAGCGCTTCAGCGCGTGACGAGAGTTGGTGCGCACAGAGGCCTAATAGGCTAATCTTTCCTTTCGTTTGGTCAAAATCGTAGTATTTATATGTTGTGATATAATTTTGCCAGAGCTCTTGTCAGTAGATTTCAAATAAAAATGCTGTAATCCATTCGAAAAAAGACCAATAGGAAATTCAAAATTGCAACTTCGTGGCCGTCCGGGAAAAGAATGCAGACTTGATATCAGGGTCCTTCGAAAATATCGAATGCCACAGTTTGGTAGTTGTATTTCGTAAAAAAAAAAACCAGAACACAATTCACTTGAAATCCTGTTTGATTTTGTATTCTGGGAAAAGTAGAAAATTCCTGTTTAAGCATACTGTTTTTTTGTTCTCACACATCCTACGAGTCAAGCCTGGTTTAAACATAACCGTTTGGGTCGGCGAACTCGTTTGGAAAATGTCACACCGCCTCCGAAGATAACATTTCACGGAACTGTAATGCCTAAATAAACTTTGGCAAAAACGTGTAAAACTGTTGAAATCAAAGTTTCTCATGGATATTGGATGAAAACCGAGATTCAATGATAGTAATAATGTGTCATTTATACACGGAAGTAGGCACTTTCGTAGCGAGTCAACTGTTGCACGTGTACAACGCATGTACGTGTACATGTACATATGCACATGCATGTACATGTCCCAACACGAACCGAAGTTCGGCAAAAAATTTCTTAACAACTGTAACGACCCCATCGCCTTTAATAAATGTTGAAACTGGAAATAGGGGAACGTCTTGTTTGCAGAACGGCTGTTAGTATTCATGAGGTCCAGAGAAATCATGCTTATTCATGATGCTTTTTGTCGCAATGAGACGGCCGCCTGGCTCATTAAACCCCCTCGCGCTTCAGCGCCCACCTCCGTCGCGGCCACGGATTTCCCCCTACTTGGCAACACCAGACCGATCGGAAAAAACGACAATACACGAAAGACCGCTTTATAGTCAAGTTGGGGATGACACCTTAGTGTATCTATCTTATATTTAGTCCGACAGGCTTTCAATAATATATAGGAATTTACACAAGCAATGTCAATTAAATGAAAGAAAATTGTTTTCCCACGACCAGTTTTTTTTTCGAAGAACATTGTACTTCCCAATCAACTGGTCCGAAAGATCTACCCCACCCATATGTTTATTGTAATCCCTGAAACACCATGGTCGTTTTACAACAGTATCCCTATCATCCCAACCCCCATCCTTTTTCTGTTTTCTCTTTACATTATTTGATTTGTTTGCATTGCGAATTGTTGCCATGATTGTGACTGCCTTTTTATCTTTCCATTGTACACAAAGTATATCACCATCCTTAAACCAGCGCATTTCCCCCCGTTTTTCTGTTTTGTTCTAAGAAGCGTCTGTTTTTTTAATTCCAAAGGATATCCTAATCTCCCTTTCTGTGTTGTCCCACATGCCAAAATTGCCCGTTTTAGTAAGTTTCCCAGAAGTGGACTGCTTTTGAAAAATTATCAAAATAAACATGGTATCCATCATTACAAAGAGACTCACATAATTTCAGTACAACTTGATACCCCAAACCCTTCCCTGGTTCACTTTTTTGTTTTGCTTTTTGCCACCTTTTTTCCCCCAGCATAGATTTCAAAATCAATAGTGTACCCAAGTTGAAGATTCTGCTAGTACCCAAAGTTTGATGCCAAATTTAAATGGTTTGTTTTTCATGTATTGCCTAATCCCTGATCTACCTTTGGATTTTACCATTCTTTTATCAACTGAAACATGTTTACATGGTACATACAATTCCTGACAAATAGTTTTGAATTTATTTATGAGATAATGAACTTTACGTAGCCTGTCAGACTTGTTTCCGTCGTTTTCAGGGTCAACAATATGGAGCAAGGCACAAATGGCTTTGACCCTCTTTATGCCCAATGTTGCCCTTGGTAAAAACAAACGGTAAATGCTGTGGGACCAATAGTTTTGAACAGATGAGATACGTACCATGCCCATGAAGATAATAAGTCCAGTGAACTTGTACATTTCATCTGGAGTTGCATCGGTCCAATTATACGAAAGTTTACTTGCTTTATGTATATCGGCATACTTGTTGTGTAGTTATACATGTACATAGTATTAATTTTTTTCTATTGAAAGCAAAAGTTTGAAAAAATCTAATGCCGTGGAAAAACTCCTGATGCCAAGTTGAGTGACAGCTGGAAGACGAGGTCCACAGGAGCCTTCATTGGCGAACTTAGGATGCTTCACCCCTCCTTCATCCATAAGACTTGAAATTTCTTTGAAAACTAAAAGTGGGAAAACAAGACAAAAATCAATCAAATTACTGGGAGGAAAAGAAATCAAATTGACTGATACTATTTATAATTTTGAATGAGTCAAGGTCAACATGTCTAAAGAAAAATTGCAGTCGTTTTCACCCAAATTTCAATCAGATTTTAGCATAACAACATGACATGATTGAAATACAGGAACCCGCAAGTAAAAACAATGCCAACTTACAAGTTCTGGATGGTAGGGTTTGTATGTTTCCTCCTTTTCAGGGTTTTGCATCATGGTTTTTGCGTCATGGTTTTGTAAAAACAGAGGCAAAAATTATGATAGGGTCTAGGCAGGTCTAAATACATGAAATAGACCTAGTCATGTTTTTGGGGAGGATTTTCGGCAGTGAAATGACTCGAATCTGAAGATTCACCATCAGGGCTAGTCATACTATCACTCGAAATTCCACTGCCCGATTCCGAGCTCGAATGTGACTCAAAACTGCTCGAATCAGAGTCGAAACTGCTTCCATCTCGTGAGGAAACATCAGAAAACTTGGAATCCAAAGTTTCAATGTCTAATTTTAACATTTTGTCTACAAAATTTGGCGATTTCTGAGAGTTTTTGACACATGATCTGTGTACACCGTGATGTCAAGACAAAAGGCCGAATGCAGTGCATGTTTCAATGGACTTATCAATCTTCAGCAACTTAGGGGTTCCTCACCAGTTTCATCTGGGATTTTTTTAAGAACCAATGAAAAAATTTCTTTTATTGCATGGTGGTAGGGGCCTCTCAAGCTGAGAAAGAAAAGAACAAAGTTGGGGAAAGTAGTCGTAAGAATTCTTACAACTAATTCTCGGCGCAGTCCTGTGTGTTGGCTACGGGGCGCTATGCATGTGTGCGTGAACTCGCATAACAGATGAGGGTTAAAGGCAGTTTCAAAGGCGAGTGTGCCCTTAAAACACACTGCTTCCCAAACCGATGGAATAACCCATAGACTAGTTGCCACATTTCCATCGTGCCATCTTTTTGAAAGGGGTGTCGCAGCAGGAACCAGTGCAGCATTTCTTTAAACCACTGAGAATTATTGTGCATGTGTTTTCACCATAGTGGTAGCAAAACGTGACGGAAACCAGTGAAAATAATTGAAGATTCCTTTCATGAGTTGCAAATGTAAGGAGGCAGACATATAAACACAAGCATTTTGATGTTGGGACAAGAAAGTGTTCAGAGGTGTTTTGTCAAGACAAAGACAACAGGATTTTTTAAAAATTGTTTTTCTAACTTGCCTGTAATAATTTTAGGGTTGTACTGAACCTTAGGGTTGGTCAGGAAAATGGAAATAAATTTATATTTTGGCCTCAATACCTTCTCAGTGTGATTTAGAATCAAGGCTTGAACTTACTCTTCCCTGACCCTGTGCAGCTTAGCCACGCATTTTTACATAGGGCTAGATGGCCCAGAGAACTGAACACAGAATTGTCATCTGCTGTCCGAACATTGGAAGAATTAAGTTACCTAGCACGTTACATAAGTTGCTGAGGGTTATTACAGTATTTGTTTTAAAAAAGGTTGGTTTTTTCCTTTTCATTTATTTATGAAGGTAATGCCCTTCTCCGTCGTTTGGTCCGCATCGGTGTGCTAGACGAGAGTAAGATGAAGCTTGATTATGTCTTGGGACTGCGTGTGGAGGATTTCTTGGAACGCCGTCTTCAAACACAGGTCTTCAAATCTGGTCTGGCTAAGAGCATTCACCATGCTCGCGTTCTCATTCGCCAACGTCACATCCGGTAGGCATTGGACAAAACAGTCCCCATCTGCTTTCATTACTTCATAGGTGTAAGAAAATGTAGGAATGGATCATCAGTTTGTATGCAAGGCAAAACTTTGTTCCCCAACTGTCCCAGCACTTCCTCAGTGTCATGATAGGGAGCCTAAAATTAGCAAGCCTACTGAACAGCTTTCTCAAGTTCTCATTAGAACCCTTTTGCTACTCTCCGAGAATCTTCAAACTATCAGTGAGTGTTACTCAAGACTCGATTTTCTCTGATACAACAAAGGAATTGGAACAAGATCATTCTGATATAAAGAACAGAGAAAGAGAAACACTGGGATTTAATCATAATATTCAGCACTGTTTCAGTGTCTGTAGGGTTTTAACAAAGTGGGCAGTAACTAGGTTGTGTCGGCAGGTAAGAGGAAGATTTTATGAAGATTTCCTTGTCAAGGACTTACGCAACTAAAGACAACTCTACATATTTCCAAACTGATTTGACAGTGCAAATAAGCTAGGACTCGGGGCAATTCTTCAACTAATGGCTGGAAATTGACAAAACAACAACGGACACAAGCTGACTTCCAGTGTGAAAAAAATGGGAAAGAGAACAACCCAAAATACTGAACGATAGACTCAGCTCACAAAATACGTGTACCTCTTCTGGAATTAGCTTCACCTTAAGCACTTTTTGTTCAGACAAATTTTTTCAATTGCTCCACAGACAAGTCACAAGCAAATCACAGGTCCTGATATACACAATTCTAAAAGTCAAGTTTCATTGTCCAGTATTAGTCCTGTAGTCTCATCGGCTTGTATTATATATGTTTTTTTTTTCCCATAAATTATTGTAAATCTCCCAGTTTGGGGAAATTCTTGCCATAAATTTCCTGTAATGAACCGCAGAAAAATCTGGAGTAAACAAGAAAGCTTCAGTATTTCATAATACCCGTTTCTTGGGATCGAACATATACAGATTCTTGCTTCATGTACAAGGCAGAGATTCTGCTTTATCTGCTTTGTGTGGGGTGTACATAATGCCTATCTTTTGGGCATTTCTCAGGAATCTATTCAAAATAAGGAAGATAGGCACAATATGCATTTACATTTTGAAGATTTGGCAGGCTCCTACATGTGTTTATTATTTGATTTGACACAAGAATAATTTTGAAACTTAAATTGGAACAGTCCAAATAGTGGAAAGTTTCCACCAATAAAGTTGCACACACTTGCTTTGTAAAGCACAGGCAGTCATTAATATCTGAGTTGCTCTTTGCAGCTTCCGTTTGCAGCTGTTCTTTCAGTTATTTATCCTATCTTAATATTTCAGCAAGAATTAATTTCTCAGGTAATGGAATACTCTCACCTCACATTTTATCTTCTGACACCCATGCAGCTGAAACTACTAGTGAAACCACTGCGGCACAGAAGGTCTTTGGACATACAGCAGTTATGCCCATTCTGGATGCTGTTAAAAAGTTGATGTTTTGGCTATTGTCGGTGCATTTCTTTGAGACCACTTGGGCAAAATGTCCTACGTCTCTCTCTCTCTCTCTCTCTGTAATGTTCTGAGTTCCCCAAAGCCAATAAGGTAGGATCATTGTAAGATCCTAGCTTTGTCTTGGGTCATTGGGAAAACAAAAGACCCAAAACTGTGGAGGCAGGTATGTTATAACTATTACTTTTGCCTTGTGCTACAACACTGATAGCCACAAGACATTGGTGTCTCCACTAAAAGTGTTGTGTACGTTGCTGCTCACAATAAATAGCCAATGAAGCTTGCATACCATGGCAACACCATAACCAGAGACGCAATGTGTCATGTTCAATGAGAGCATCTTAATCAGCACAGTACATAATACATATACTTCCCTGTTGGCTTTATACAAAAATCTCTTATCGCCCATCAAGGAGGCATGCAACTTTTCTTCAAGTTAGCCGATTTCCTAATTTTTCACCTCACACTTGTGCCATTGAAAATTGAAAAATACTGTACAAAGTCTTCTAAGGATTGGATTTTCCTTGTTTTTTGGTCAACGTCCGAAACGCATGCCTGATCAAGCCAATAACTATTTGATAAAAAAATGCACCTTATCTGTTCCTTTAGTTTGCAGGAAGTGCTATTTTCTAATTGCCAGTCTTTAGCATTGAACCCACAATGCATGGGACAAGTCCAAACTGACTATCTGGCAACGTTGATAATGATGGAAACCAGAAAAATATTCACTGAGGATCTGTTCAGTCATTGTGCAAAAGCTAATTCTTGTTTGTATTTTCAATTTTTCTGAATCTACTTTAAAGAACAAAAGCCTTGTTCACTGAAACAGGGAAGGAAGAATTTCCATAACTGACCCTGGTGAATGCACAGCAGTAGTCAGTCCACAACTCTCTTTGCACACTAGGTAATCCAGTACCCATCCAGCGGCCTAAATGTGCTTCATCACAAGTTAACTGTTGCCGTAAAGTCATTCTCAGTCCTCTGGGAAACATAGTTCCATGTAACAAAGTATCAATGCTGAGCACAGAACCTTTCCAAATGAACCATTAGTTTTGTTTTTCTTCCCCCAAAATGGAAATGTAACTTGTTAAGGAAGCATAACATCTTGTTCAGTTTTCTTATACAGTGAACATATGTGTAAACGTACTTACTGGCTTTATGTAGGATTTGCAAGATCTGAAAAACGGGACTGTCAAATTATCTTGAAATATCTTAGTAAGAAATCATAGTGTCATACAATCTGTGAAATCTAGCCACCAGGAATGCTATCATTTTCAAGAAAACAGAAATTTTATATTTATTTTCAAAGATCCATTCAAATGCCGCAGCCATTGATCTGACAATATAGGCGGTCATTTTTACATAATGAAGAATTTTTTCATCAGAAAATGAGCTTTTTACAGTGATTCGGGCTGGAAAATTTATCTTTTACTTGATTACATCATGATTAAAATTTCAAGTGATCCAGAATTGGCTTATCCAATCAAGATCTAGACAAAGTTTCGCAGTCACTTCCATTGATCCTTTGAGTACAAATTAAAATGTAAAATAAGTACAAATCAAAATGAAAATGATTTAGTATTTCCTGCAGACATAGGGACTACTTATCTTTGGAATTTGAGGATTGTCCATGTAGCAGTCAGATTGAACAATGTTCATGATCGAGAACAAAGTAAATGACTGTAGCCTTTGCTGGAGATTATAGGAGCATCTCCATTGGGTTGACTATTGTCCTGGTAAGGCTTCACAGAGCTGTCAATTGCATCTGGCCTATACTGGCACTGTAAGCATTAAGCGAGATTATTGTGTCATTCTGATCATACACACTTGGAAAGGATCAAGAGTGTGTTCCATGGTCATACCACACTAGAAAGTCCAGTGAACAATACACTGATTGCACTGGCTAAGTCACATGACCCATAGTGGATATCAAACATCATCAAACTTTGCATCCTTCCATAGCAAAGGGTGTCATAAGTGTCATTTACCAAAAATAAAGCTGTCGGTCAGTAAAGTACTCTGACAATTATTTGCTGAGTGCTATACCAAACTCTGGCTTTCGTTTTGGTAAACAACATGCTACACTGTTTGCTTTGGGAGTGTGCAATATTTGTTGGTGTTTGATACCCAGAGTAGGTCATGTGACTTTGCAGGTGTAATCGGTTTATAGGTCATGTATAGTGACAGTAAAGTGCTGGTAATGGTTATCCACCACAGGGCAAGGTTTGCAGTTTTACAATGAAGTACTTTGCATAATCTGCCTAATACCCATCACAGTATAAGGAATTGATCCAGGTACCGTGTTTCACTTATTGTGAGCAGTACTGTAATGAACTACATAATAATAGTTGCTCGTCCTCTCTTGTCTTCTAGATGTCAAAAGAATGGCCTAATAATAATCTTGTCCACAGAGTCAGCACACACCTTCTTACATGTGACTGCTCGGAGTCTGCAGAATATGGTTACAACTTCCAAGCCTTTCACTACTTTTGTCAACACTAGGACAAGCCCTTTGACTGTATTACAGTACATTGCAGTCAAGATGTGTTTTTTGTATTATATTACACTTCAGGTCAACACTCTACATTGGATGTAGTGTTTAGTGTTAAAGAATTCTTCTCTTTGATTTGATTATATAAACAGTTTTTACTGTTTTTGTGTTGTGGGTTTTGAGTTGACAAAGCATTTAATTGCTTTTTAAAATCTAATATAACCATAATTCAATGACATCATGCTTGTTTACATATGCTTTTACTAGGGCAGCTACATGTAGATGGGACAAGCTCCTTGAGCACATGCAGCACACATTTAAAGAAAAAAGATAGCATTATATTTCAGTCTTTAAGTGGCATTTGCTGCCTGTGGTTGCATTGCTACCCATGATTGCATTACTGGAGGTACAGTAGAACCATTTATAAAAAATGATACAAAGAGCAAAATGTTAAATCCAAAGTCTCACAATGTCGCTTAGTCTTCTTTGTTTATAACACATTTTATAACGAGGATTTTGTCACACATGTAAAAGGGTAATCCCAGCTGGTGCCAGCTACATGTACCTGTACCTTGCTAATAATTGACTGTAAGAGGTTGTCAGCAGGTGCTTGATGCTACCAAAGACATGTACATGTACTTGCTGCAAGTTGTGAGGAATTCAGTAGTCAGTGTTTTTTTAATTCACCTTACGTTTCTCTTTGCAGTGTCCGCAAGCAGGTGGTGAATATTCCATCTTTCATCGTTCGTCTGGACTCCCAGAAGCACATTGACTTCTCCCTTAGGTCTCCACTGGGAGGGGGGCGGCCAGGTCGTGTGAAACGGAGGAATATGCGCAGGGCCCAGGGTGGGGCAGATGCTGATGGCGAGGAAGATGAGGATTAATAAGCATGCTTGAAAGGAAGGACCTGTGCCAACAGGGAAATCAGAGTAGGAATTTATATAAACACTTGTCGACACCTGTCTTTGGTGTTACAGATGGACTCATTTTTATAGTTAACAGTTCCAGTTTCATCCTGTTTCAAGTTGGATGGGTGACCATATCACAGGAATCAGTCTTTGCTCATTGATAAAATGTAATATTCAAATATGAAACACATCATCAAAGCAAATTACACATAACTGTTGAAAACTAATGTTCTACAAGCTGTTTCTGCTGTAAAGACATGTTTGTCCTTACCATGTACCACCATTTTCCTTTCTGCCCAAGCTGAATTGAAGGATATTAAAAGGCCTGACCTGTCGGGCTGAACTGAAAATATGTAGTGTAAATTGACATGCTGTTGTGATAATAGTGTCTGCCTGGACTCGATCAAGCTTAGGTTGGTAGAGTTTTGAAGTGTTTAATTAGGAATGAGACGAATGTGTTTTTCAGGAGAGAAGCACTGAGCAGTTTTGGGGACCTTTTTAAGTTGGAGAAAAATTGAATGGAAGGGTTGTATGAACAGGCGAGAATCAAACCCAGGTATTTGAGTCTGTAGTCCTATATCGAACCACTGACTTCCTTCCACAGCCATGAGTTTAGCCCCATGCCAAGATGTATGACAATGCTGGGATACAGAGCAGTCACCAGTGAATGCATGTACATGTACTCTATACGCACACAGTACACGAGGCATGTGTGTGTGATGTATAGTGTGTGTGCATTGAATTTCAAAGCGATAGACTACCGTGGGTATGTTTTGACATTGGCGGGTCACATGTGTGAACAGTACCACGAGGTTAATGCCTACGACAGTTGATGGTAATGTTTATGTTATCCTATAATGGACAATTTTGGCGATTACTGAACTTTCCTTCATAACTTTCAGTCCGACTCACACAAAGGTCATTGTATCTATTGTATCAAAGGTCATTGGCCTGCTACACTGCTGTGGCTTCCTCGCACCCAGTGTCATTTCCTCCAGCGGCTTCTTGTTGGGGCTCTCTGGCAAGAATGCATCTCATTCCACTGACACTGTAGTGTCAGTGGAATGGGGGTGCGGCAGTTGTATGCAAATGATCAATCTACTTAAATATTTCTAGCCTTGGTATTATAATTACGTACATGTACTTCGAAGCTCAAACAACATGGCGGCTTCATGCGAGCAAGTACCGTGTCAATAGTGTCTGGTTTGTGGGAAGGAATTAGTGGCATGCAAGACATATCTTTCACACCATACCAGACATGAAATTGCCACTCTTGTATCGTTGGGGAATACAGTTATGCTGCATCGCATCATGTTTGCGATATCTGCGGCAGAAAAATTGGGAAAACAAAATCGTTATCTGACACCACGCAAGAAATACGTTCTCGCTTTTTTGCAACTCACAATGAGCATGCTGCCTGAGGCCAGATTACTCACACAAGCAGCAAATAAACCTACACGTGCAGCAAGAAAACGACAACAAACTGGCAGTCCGGGTACTCTGTCCTCGAAGATTAAGGTCTTTAAGTACGCTTTAGTTAGCTTGGGAGGGCATACTGACTGTACATAATTATGGGTCGCCAAGAACAGGATCCTCAGTCATAACCTACATGTAGGCGTAACCTACATGTTGTCTGAGTATAACCCGTTCTACTCTGTGCTAACTCCGTACGAACGTCTGTGTTGTCGGGACTGCAGACAGCCATGATGCATGTGACCTTACCTTGGTGTATTATTGAGGTCATCAAAATTTATTATGCATGCAATTTAGCGAATGCTGGTTGGTTCCCTTGGAAAAGCGAGAGAAAAATAAAGAACAAGTTAAAACGCTGCTGCAAGATTCACAAGACGTTAGTACGAGCTGGCGCACAGTCTAATTATGACTCGTTAGAGGTGCTGTGCACGGTGTCCGCTATCAAGCACTAACGTCTTGAAACCAAGACTACTGACACTGCGGCTCTTCGATGCACAAGCCTCCTTCGGAGCATGAACTGCAGATCGACGCTCTACGTCGTCTTTTGTCGTTCAACCAGCAAGAAGTCGCATTCCTCCAAACATCGAGATGCATTTCCTTGTGCTATCATCTCGGCTTTCCAGTCCTGTGAGACACTCTTTTTGCTGGTCACCTGCTTCAATCTGAAAGCAACACCATCTGCTGCAGCTCCAGATTCTGACCCTCTGCTTGCTGATCCGCCCTCCGTGACCTTTTCCGACCAATACGGACATGCATCGGTTGTCAGTGCGGGCTTGGATAATCCAGCACACTATCAACCCTCATCTAAATCCACACGCAAACTCAGTCAAGATACATGTACGCAGCAAGAAGCGGTCCAGCCACGGCCCGACCTTCGAGATGCGTCTTTTGGGGATGAAGAAATAGACTCTGCTGCCAGCCTTACGCCTATAGAGGCTTGTCTATGTCTGCTCCAGAAAGACTTGCTTTGGCTCTTGGGTACAGGCCTACCCGCCTAGTCACTGGTCAAAGAGGACTCCGAGTGACGCCCTTCCGTAAAACGTCATGCGGTCACACTGGAAGCTTCAGCACTGCTTTTTCCAGAACTACCTCTAGACCGCTCACGCATGGAAATGTACAAAGTTCCCTCCAGTGCAAAATGCTGGTGATCATACTTGGCTCGAGCTAGAGCCTATTTACAATTCCCCCAGAATGGCCTCACCATTTTGAAGTTTCTGTCTATTCTCGAGCTTCCTACTGCAGCTAAAGACAAAATTGCTTCCGACTCAGCTAAGTCTTCCAGCAAGAACCACTTCCTTGATGAAGACAAGTCCAACCTGGAGCTTACCATAACCAAGTTGGACAAAGCCTCTCATCACAGTCTCTGGTGTACTGCTTTTTTCTCATTCTTATCAGAGTACCTCTCTTATACGTGTGAAGAAGATTCTCCTGATTTTCCAGGCCTTGCTACAGTTGCTGTCAGAGCCTTGGACGAAAACATTAACCCCATCTTCCAGCAATTCTCGCGGATTTCCTGATTAGCTACGTCTTCCCGCAGAGCTAATGCTCTTGAGGCAATGGATATCTCGCACGAAGGTGTCAAAACTAAACTTTGAATCCTCCCCTTGTACGGAAAACTTATTTGGCGGTCAGTTTATGGGACAATGGAATTGGAGGCCAAGTGCATCAACCCCCCCCAAAAAACACAAGGTTAGCTTCCGTGAACCTGTTCAGCCTCCTCGTCAGCAGCTATACCCCAGTCGCTGAGCTCACCAGTTCAGCCTGACCTCTTCCTCTCCCTCCTTTAATTCCCCCGGGCACTAGTCAAATTACGTACTTCCTTCCCATCCCCTTCTCAGCCCACGTAAACAACACAAAAGGGACACAGACCCAAAGGATAGTCCCAGCGCTACCCCTGTCCACTTCGGGGGTCGGCACCGATGACTACCCCACTTCGTTTCTGGCCTCTTTCCCCGAACCTGTCGAAGGCCACCTACAGTTCTTTGAAAGGGTCTAGCAGGATGTCACGTTGGACAGATTAGTACTTGCGACCGTTTCTATTGGCTACTCTCTCAAATTCACGAGTACCCCCACCGACCGACCCAATTCTTTTTCAAACTCCAATCTCCTTCGACGAGAACAAACGGCTAGCATTGGAGACGGAAATAAACGCTCTTCTTCAGGAACAGGTCGTCTTTCTTGTTCCCATAAATGACAGCAGCGTAAGCTTCATTTTGACTTTCTTCGTCACACCAGAGAAGAAACCTGGCGAGTGGCAACCTAGTATAAACCTCGGCCACTGGAGAAGTTCATCCGTCCCAAAAGGTTCCACTTGTGTAGACTTAAATCAAGTCGGACTTCAGTTGCTCTTCCCTAGTCAGCCCTCCCGTCAGCTGGTACGCACAACACGATCGTCGCGCTCGGCCCGGCAGCTCGCATAAAAGCGCCCTTATTTGATAGCCTTTATTGTACAACGCGTGTCATAGTCGCCAGTCAGTAAGTCCGACTTGATAGATAAGCCAATCGGACCCCCGTCGGTGATATGTAGTTATTCATAATTGCATTTGAACGACATGATTTTGCATTATGTATACGGAATTTCCACCAATCAAAGTAGTCAGACTTTGTGGATTCGTTCATTAAAATGCAGGTATGAACAACGTAAAAACAGGTCCAGCAATGTGATTTGCTGCTATCATTTTTGATAGATGAGCCCATTCGCTGTTTACAAACGGTTGGCAGATTCGTCAAGTCGGGATTTCTGAACTGAATTCGTAGTAAGTGGACCGAGAGGGCGCAAGCAAGTAACGGCGCGCGGTATCGATACAGTACATAGATGGATCCCAATATACGACGCTTTTAGCGTCGATCTGCGCACCGACGCGTTTGAAAATGAGGCTGTATGTGTCAGCTTCAATTCTTAATATGATCAGACGATTGAAAGTAAAAAGTCAAGACAAAGACTTAAAAGGTGTGTTAAATTCAGACTGCTCCGTTTGCAAATTTTTGTAGAAGAGTCTTTCAGGATGATTCGACACGAAAAGAAAATACAATAGCAATTTACTGCATCTTGTGCAGTGGGCGTGGTTTAAACTGAAATGGCGTCACACTTCCGAACCGGATACTGCATGTACTGTGTGAACTCCGCGGGCAGACGGGGGCGTGCGATGAAGTTCAACACATAGAGCCTCGGTTTCGATGCAGATGTGCGCAGACGGCGCTAATGTGAAATTGCTTTATACATGTATACGTAGATATCTAAAACAGAAACAGAGATGTCACCATGGTCACAGAGATTCTGACTTCAGTCAAGTCTGTTGCTTGTGCCGAGAATGGACCTTTACTATTAAATATGTGAAAAAGGAAGGGGCACGTGCATTACCACTGCTGGTTGGCAAAGTTGATTAAATCAGCGATGTAACAATACAAATTTTCGTGGCGTGCACAACCATTGGCACGTATTTCTGTACTGTGGGGGAAAGGAAAAAAAAATACAGTGCTCACCGGTTTATCTGTACTGTTTGACATGACTACGGAGTTTTAAGACAAGAAATTGTTACTCTCCGATCTCAGCACACTTGAAACTTCATTTAGTTTCAAGAAGAGTGTACGGAAGTACCGAGAAAGGGTTTTAATACGGTGTTGATTGATCTTCAACGCGTCAGATTCATGGTTAAAGTTCGCCGGCATTCTTTACGGCTACGCATGCCAACCGGTGATAGTAGCACGCATGCGCCTGTCTAATTTCCATATTTCATGGAAAAAGGTCCATTTTTATTGCTGTGCATGGACGCGAACAAGTCACGTGAATAAGGCCACGAGCAAGGACAAAATAATTTTTCAGTCATAAGTTTAAGTAGTCTTTGAGGATCAATGGGACGGCCGAAATTACTCTTTCAT